AACTCCCAGAATTCCCCAGCCAGCATGGCTGGCTGGGGAATTCCGGGAGTTGGTCCACTCATCTTAAAGTGGCCAAATTTGGACAACACTGTCCTAGACATATGAGTTTGGTAGCTTTTGTTCCTGATTTCAGCAGGCTATAGTATACAGTTGGCAAATTCCAAACAAGCTATAGTTAAGAGTAATCACATTTTCTTCAGTTTAGGGTATACAACTGGTAATTGGAAATGGATGAGATACTTCCAGATTCGTCTTCAGAATCACAACAATGGAAGAAATGGTCAGCATGAAAGTGGGGAGATCAGCTCACCCACAACACAGTAAAACATATCTTACAATACGATTGACTGTGGTCAGTGAAAGTGCCCTCAGATCTCTCTCTAGGTTTTATGACTGTAGGTAACAGAAAGGTATTGCCTTGATAATGCCAAAGGCCAGTTATAAAGCAACCATTTTTCTTGCATCATGGTTTACTAGTGAAGTGGAAGATAATTTCTGTCAGTCAAAAACAGTTTCTGCAGAGTGATTTTCCTTTGTCAGTTAAATGTTGGCCTTAGTAAAATGTATTTAATTCCAATGCCTGCAAAAATAAATGGATGGTTATATAGATTGTTTACCTATGGAAACTAGAACGTTTATAATTGCATAAGAGCATGTGTTAAAGCATGTCCCAAGTAATCATACCGGCTGTTTGTTAATGTAAACTAACTTTGCCATTAGATGTGCATCTTCCTCATTGTTATAAACTCTATAGACTTTGGCTTAGATTTTTTTTTTCTATTATATATTGTGTTTCTGCAGCAGGGTATCCCATGCTTCTGAGCCTGGGCTTTCCCACACCAATCAAATCCCACCCCAAGGCATAAGCCAGGGGGATTCTCACCACTCCCAAACTGGGAATCGGAATCACAGGTCAGTTTCAACTGCCTTTCCAGTTTGGCAGCCATTTTTCCCCCAAAGTTCCTTTTCCAAAGTTTTACTGTGATGAAGAATTTTGATTGCTTGGAAGTTTTTCTGCTGATGGCAGTGCTAGCTAAGCCCTGTTCCTGGCTGGCCTGATGTGTAATTTCCCCCTCCCCGACTCTTGTAAACTCCAGGGTTCTTGCATTGTTGCATGTTGTGCTCAAGCCAAATCAAGCCATTGGTTTAGTTTAAGGCATTTCACGCAAAATTTTACCATCTGATCTGACAGGTTATTCTAGATTAGTGTTTCTCAACCTCAGCAATTTTAAGATGTGTGGACTTTGACTCCCAGAATTCCCAGCCAGCATGCATGCTGGCTGGGGAATTCTGGGAGCTGAAGTCCACACACCTTAAAGTTGCTGAGGTTGAGGAACGCTGCCCTCTATCAATGATGACTGATGCACAGTTACCCCAGAGATTACTTTTTAACCTGTTTTAATCCTGCAACCTGGTCTGATGTTAAATTATAAGTGCAGGTTGATCAATAGGATTAGAAAAGTTAAATGGTTGTGTATTCGGTATGAAGATGCCTCAAAACTCTATTGTTTGAACAGCCGCATGTTTTTGTTGCCATGCTAACTTTCTCTTTTTGCATTACAAAATCCAGATAAGGAGTGCTTCATGCTTATCAAATGAACCTTTCCAACAAAATGCGTAGGTTGAAGGTTTGTCATTTGGTTTTGCACAGACCCATAGAAATGGCAAGCATTAGCACAGTGTGCCTGCTGTCAGCGCCTTACCTTCGCTAGCAAGTTGCCCTGCAGCTATGCTTTTAACGTTTACTTTTTAATTAGCAACTGAGCTGGAAAACATCAAGCACTCCTTTTTGTTAGCCATTGTTAATTAGATACTGTTACGGCTGATAGAGGATGGATGCTATGTTTGTGCTTATGCGATGAGAGCGGGGAGGAATATTGCAGTTTGAATAGACATTATGCTAATAACTTTGGAGCATTGGATTTAATAAACTAACCCAGTTTGAGTTTGATTTATATTAAGGATGCAAACTCTGTTAAACTCAACAAAAATGGTAATGGGTTTCAAAATATTGCCATCTAAGGGGATAGGAGAATGACAAGAAGGGTATGAATCTGGGTTGTCAGAGATTTTGTGCCAGTCAAGAGTTTTAGACTTCAACTTGCATGAGTCACAGATGTCAGAGTAAAGGGCAAGAAATTGTGAGATTTGTAATCCAAGGTACCTAAAGACCACTAAATTGCCTTTCCCTCAGCTAAACTATGATATGCTCCCACATAATTAATTACATTGCATACTGAAAAAGCAGTTAGGCCCTGAGTTAACTTTGTAACGTGTTGCATATGATGGCATGCTTTGGCTACATACAATTTATGCAGAGAATTGCCCAGCTTTTCATATCTGAACAGGACAGAGTCCATGTTCTAACAAATCTGGGGGTAACTTGCATACAGAGGAAGACTGTTCCAAACGAATAATCCTACTGATTTCAGAAGGGTCCATTCTCAAATCAGTGAACATAGGATTGCAGTCTATCTAAATTATTGTATTGTTATTTAGTATCTGTTTGGGATACTGATATGCATTCCTGTACTTAGTAATCTAAAGTATACCCTCCATTTCTATGATGCATTAATTCAATGACTAGCAACACATGAGGGACTAGTTGTGCATATAGCAGTTTACCAGACAAGAATCAGCTATTTTCTTAATCCCATTCCATACATTTTTCTTCAATGTGCTTATAGTGACATAGAAAAAGTAAAATATTTGGAGTATCTAGTTATTTAGACTATTGTGTGAGAACAGCTACCATATAATCCAGGAAAAACTGATGCTTACATAGGAATTCTGAGATTGGACCAGTGAAAAAATCCATATTTGGCAAATCAATAAGTTTTTCTCTCTCTTCCTATAATAATTGTATTCCTAGAAATGGTAGAATTAAAAAGACAAACAAGCAAACACACTCCCAGCGTACTACTAACAAAACAAGATCAAGTCTTCTTTCTGAATCTGGTTTGTAAATACCCAGGCATTGCTGTCTATTTATATTTATGTTTCTATGGCAGGAGGCAAATAATCATTTGTTGTGTAGGTAGTCCCCAGTTTAAGAAGGAGTTCCGTTCCCAAGGTCTGTCCTTAAATCAAATTTGTATGTAAGCCAGAACAGTATTATTATATAATGCTA